TTCTTCCTGACAGAAAGAGGTCAGTGTTTGCCTCTGGTTATAGGCATTAGGACCAGGGAAGGGGCTGGTCCTATTTCACAGGTTGAATATTCACCCCAAATATATCAGGCCTTGATTCCAGAAGCCTGTGTACTACGTTATTAAAAAAACAAGACAAAATAAGGAAGGTCTTTGCAAGTGTGGCTAAGTTGAAGATCATGAGATCGGGAGGTTACCCCATGTTATCTGGGTGGACCCCAAAATGCAATCACAAGTATCATTATAGGAAGGAGTCGGGGGAGCTAGAACACACACAAGGCGGAAATGGCAATGAGCTGAAGGAAGTAGAAATCGGAGCAATGGGGCCGCAAGTCAAGGAGTGTGAGTCATCACCAGAAGCTGGGAAAGGCGAAGGAAGGGATTTCCCCTAGAGCCTCCAAAGGGAGCATGACCCTGCCAACACCCTGATTTTGGCCCAGTGATATTGACTTCAAATGTCCAGCTTCTAGAACCACAAGGGAGTACATTTCATTTGTTGTAAGTGACCAAGTTTGTGGTTATTTGTTATAGTTGTGCTGGGAAACAAAAATACTCCTAGAGCTCCCAAATTGATGAATTGAAGCTGTGGGGCAAAGCCTCCCAGTGCAAAGCCATAGCACTTCTGAGGCAGGAGCTGAGAGAAGAGTGGACAGATCTTTTGCACCTCTCTTGATAGTCAAGTGTCACTTAATGACAGGAATATGATCAGAGAAAAGCATCATTAGCTGATTTTGTCACTGTGCAAACATCATAGAGTACTGTGGGTGATGCAGCCCACCCACAAATCTAGGCTATATGGTATAGCCTACTGGTACCACCATCACATACATGGTTTGCCGTCACTGACCATGTCACATGACTATATACTTAGGTCTCCCACCTTCCTTTTAAAGTGCCCTCCCTATGAAAACAGGGCACCTACCTTCCCTCTGCCTCTGTCAACTTTCCAATGAATGTTGGGCAAATTATCTGATTATCTTAGTGCTTGGCTTCAACCTGCAGTGAAAGTAATAGGGGCTACCTGTCACGTTCTACCTTGATTTGTCACTGATGTATAGTCTAATATGTCCTATGGAACTCTGATTTAGTGTTAAGTCTCCTAAGGCCCCAGCACATTATTGAACATACCAAGGGTGCTCAGTCCATGGTTAGCATGTGCTTCCTTCATCCTGACCATAAGAAATACTACCTAGTTCTCTTTATTATCTGATCAAGAAGTTCAAAGTCAAGTCTGATGACTATAAACAGGAATCCCCACACAATCTGTCAGGCCTCAACAACTGGACCAGGACACCATTAGCATTCTTTGTTATCCCCTGGGGTGCAATGTATGTACAGTAAAATGCACCAATCTTCAGCATTCAGCTTATTAAATTTTTACCTATATATACACCTTCCTGTAACCACTACCCAACTGAAGTATATTCAATCACTCTTCTAGAAGACGACTGCCATGGGAAACAGACTCCACCCCCATCTCTCGCTGCCAACATCTAGCTACAGCTCCTGGTATGCCATGAAATGCACTTCCTGGGGGCTGCTGCTGGGAAGGGGCAAGGTGCCATCGTAAGGAGTGGGAAAGGAACAGAAGACACACAGTAGGCTGCTCCTGGGTTTGCTCTTTGTGGCTTTACTGCTTTAGATCTGATTCTCTTCAGAGACGATGGCAGCCATCATCCCGCCCTTTGGTGAGTTCCGTTTGTATGGCACATTCAGAACTCTGGCTCTCTCCTTCTCTCCCAGCTCTTCAGGCCGTGCCTGGCCTTCAGCCCACAGGTGCCTGCGACTTGTTCCCCTCGTGACTTTGCTATTAGGCCTTGCCCACTCAGCTCTGGGCCCTGCCTGTTTGAGGGACATTTGCCCACAAGGGAATGGGTGATTTAGGAATTTGATAGGAAGTGTGTGTTTGGAAATCTTTCCTCTTCTCTCTCTTTCTCTCTCCAGTGAAAAGATCTTTGCACACACTAGAGTCTGATTGCTTTATGCATGCAGGAGGCAAGAACCCCTAGAATGGGAAACATGGGTTTTTTCCCCCTTAACAGTATCCCTGGACACTCCTTGGTTTCACCCAGTATCAACCCAGAAAGTTCTTTTTTCTCCTTTTCTAGTCAATTAACTCCAGGCTCCTCACACCTCAGTGAACCATGATTCTGTTTTCTACCCCCAGTAACTAGGTGTGCTTGTTTGTGAACCTCATGTAAATGGAATGATACAGAACAAATACTAATACCTGCCTTCTTTCTCTCCACGTAATGGTTTTGAGATTTATCCATGTGATTGTGTTGGGTCAGTAGTTTCTTCTTTAAAAAAAAAACTACTGTGTATTATTCCCTTGTAAATTTATGGCACTCTTTGTTTATTCATTCTTCTGTTGACAAGCATTTGAATTATTTTCAGTTTGGACCTACTGTGAGTAAAGTTTCTATGGACGTTGTCATTAGGGCCCCGAGCTTCCATTTCTCTCGGTTGTGTACTTAGGAGTAAAATTGCTGAGCAACAGGGAAGATGTCTGCTGAATTCAATAGCAATTGGTACCACTATTCTTGATTTAGATACACGAAAACAGATTTTTCGAGAAAAATAAAGCAATGACAATATTTCTGCACTTACCTTCCCAATTCCAATCATTACAGTAATTTCTTAAAGAAACAGACTGCCTCTTTCTTATGCCTCATGAATGGTTAATTGGACAAGCAGTAGAGAAAGTCAGAGGGTCACAGGGTCCAGACAAACAAACACACATCCACACAAACATACTCTCATATAATTTTTTACACATCCTCACCAGCCCATACCTTCAAGGCTGGTCTTTCTAGCATCAGGACTGAACATAGCGCTCACATAGGCAGGAGCCTCATGAAAGAAAATATTTTAAGAGCAAAATTTGCTCTTAAATTTGAAGCCCTGATTGAAATGACAACTGCAGACAGCCAGAAGTATGTGGAATATGTAGGACGAGTACAATCAGATCACTCTCTGGTGTCCGTTCAGAGTATATGAAGAAGTCTTATTCCCCTGCCAGATCCATAGCTCTCCTGAGACCTGGGCACCAGGAGAATGGCCTTTGCTTTCCCAGCTGTCAGCCCCCTTCAGAAGTGAATTCCTGAGTACCAGCTGCTCCCTACTTGAGTGCCCCTGAATTCTAGAAATCCAAAACAGCTTGGCAAAAGTGATAGAGAAGGAAAACTATTTTAAGACCCTGCAGTGTTATCATGACACTATAGAATTAAAGCTGTGATGCCAAAGGAAAGGAAAGGAAAGCAAAGTCTAAGCCTGTCTTTTCACAAGGTGCATTTTACAACAGCCATTACTCATTACAAGTCAAACACATTCTTTTCACCCAAATAGGGGTTTCACACAATTTTTCTAATGGTGTGCAGTGTTTAGTTGTTTTCATAATAATTAAAACCCCACCTCTTCTGCTATTTAACCTTTGATTGTTACCCACGAGGTGCATTGTACACTTCAGTGAATGGTGGCATGGGGCAATTATACATTCCTTGGTTCTTTCGTACAAAATCTGAGACACTGCTTCTGGAATCCAAACTACTCTGTGTCTCATAATTTACTTGGTTTCCCTTAAATCCTCATACTGTCTTTTGCCCCTTACTTTCTATTCATGGAAAAAACACTGGTCACATCTCTGTGGCACCACTCAGACTAAGCTGACAAATAAGAAATGTTAAACACTCAGTTGTATACTTGGTACCAGGAAATTAAAACAATGGGGTGATTCAATATCTTTTTTTCTTATCTTATTTTCCCTATTCATTTTTTTCTGTTTTTTTTTTTTAAACACTTTTTTTTTTTTCATTGCTCTCCTGCTGTGTAGATAGATTATTTCTGGACAAAAATAAAGCACGTGTTACTCGATCTTCATTGTCATTTTTGAGAAAAGACTTTTGAGTAAACTTGTCCTGTAACTATTTTCGAACAGACATTAGCTTTCTCAGTGGGACTGATAAAGCAATGCAGTGGGTACTAGTCCTACATTTTTCATATTGATTTCCAGAAGCTCAACTTCCACATGAATTATTTACTAATCCCGCCATGATTTGGAGCTCAATCCTCGCTTACTCTAAAGGGTATGTAGGTTTGCTTAGGAAGAAGTGGCCAATGACTCTGGTACTGACATACAGAAGTCAATGTTCTGTCACTGGAACCCCACATTGTGAACCCCAGAAGCCTCCATAATAGTGAGGGATTGAGTTCCTTCCCCAATTTAATTTTTAATGGAAATACTCCATTCTTACTTTAGTTCCTCCGGCAAAACTAAGTCTTGATTTGGAAAATTGTGACTATATTAACGTAAATGCCTTTGTGGACCCATAGCGTCTATCTAAATTTCATAGTTCTTAGTTAGGTTTAATGAGTTATAATTAACCTAGAGTATAATTCCTCCTTTCTATGTATACAGTTCGATGAGTTTTGAGAAACAAAGACAATCATGTAACTACTGCCAGCATCAAGATAGGGGAAATTTGTGTTACCTCAAAAAGTTTCCCATTGCCCTACTGACATCAATCCCCTCCCACCAATCCCCAATTCTTGGCAACCATTGATATATTTTGTGTCCCTATAGTTTTTCCTTTTTCAGTATGTCATATAAATGGAATCATAATAAGTAGCCTTTTGTCTCTCACTCTTTTCACTTATGTTTTTGAGATTCATACATGTTGCAAGCATCGTGACTTGTTACCTTTTACCACAGCGCCGTATTCCATTGCATGGACTTACCACCATTTGCCAATATACTCCTATTCGATAGGGTGTCTGAGAAACTTTGCCATGCAGGTATTTGCGTGAGCATGTTCCCATTTGTACTTCATTTTGGATGCCGTAACAATGCACTGTGTCTTGAAAACATCAGAAATGTATTACTCACAGTTCTGGAGATCAGAGTGCCAGCATGCTGGGGAAGCCTCTCCTAGGTTGCTGACGGCTGTCTCCTCATCGTATCGTGGCAGAAGGCGGGTGAGAGAGTACTTGCTTTCACAGCACATAGACTAGAATTAGATTGATACAGAGATTAGCATGGCTCCTGCTCAAGGATCACACGCAAATTCACGAAGTCTTCCATATTTAAGATGAAACAAAAACAAAAAAGGAGCGCTCTGGGTTTAATAAGGGTACTGGGCTTATTCATGAAGCCTTCACCATTGTGACCTAATCACCCCTCCCCGCAAAGGCCGCATCTTCAAATACTATCATGCTGCGGGTGAGGATTTCCCCATGTGAATTTTGAGGGGACAGCTACTTTCAGTGTATTGCATGACTAACTCCAAGGAGTGGGAATGCTGACTTGTATGCTAAGTGAATGTTCAATTTGTAAAAAATTACCAAAGGGTTTTCTAGAATGGCAGTACCATTTCCACTAGTAATGTGTAAGATTTCCAATTGCTTCACATCCTTGGCAGTATTGTCAATTAAAAAAAAAATGTACATATTCTTATGGGTTTGTAGTGGCATCTCAATGTCGGTTTAGTTTTTATTTCCCAAATGAATACTGATGATGGACATATACTCATATGTTTACTTGCAACCTCATCTCCTCTATGGGATCTTCTGTGTGAAGTGTGTGATAAAATCTTTTGGTCATTTTTAAATTGAGCTGCTTATTTTATTTTTATTACTGGAAAGTGAGAGTTCTTTAGGCATTTCTAGTCCTTTATCAAAAATATGATTAGTAAGTATTTTCTCTAAGTCTTATCTTGCATTTTCATTTACTTACTGGTGTCCTATTTCATTCTTTCATTTTCAGAGGGTGGTAGTTATTTCTTGCCCTCTTGACTTTTCTACCATCTTGGGCTGTATAACAAAGAGCTAGGAGGTGCCACTGGCTTGGTCCAATTCATAATCCTCTGGCTATGGGTTAAGGCCAGTCTCCTGAAAGAATACTGGCCTAACCATTGGATACTTCACTCTCTAACTGTAATGTGCATAGAATAATCTGGAAAGTGTGATTAACATGCAGGCTTCCAAAGTCTGCTCCTAGAAATATTTATTCAATAAGTGTGAGGTGAGGTACAGGTAGCTCAATATTCAATAAAACCCCAGACAATCCTGATATAGGTGGGTTCGGGATGACATTCCGAAACCCTGAAAATCTAAGGCCACTGATGATGTGTCATGTCTGCTGTAGTCAGGATGCAAAGTCTACAACAGGCTTAAACAAAATAGTAGCAGTTAACTCAGAGTGGGGGATGTTACCACACAACTAGACAAAAAGAAGAAACGCCAAGAATGCTGGAATGTTGAGACATTTTTACTGAACATTCACCCATTCTTTCATCCTTTTCTCTGCTATTACAAGCGTGTCTTAACTTGGACAGATATCCTTTGAAATGTGATATTCTGAGTAGGTACTAGATGGGAAATGATGGCTGATAAATAAATAAATCATGGCACATTAATAAATGTCAATAAATTTTTAACCTTGACCATGAATAATAACACTTCTCCCTATGTTAAGTACCAGGTTGCCAGCCCTGGGATGATGAGAAATTCCAGTTTATTTTTGTTTTTTCAGCTCCACTGTACTTACAGCAAGCCAGGGATACATGGAAGTCTTGGGTTTCATAATAATAAATTTTTGGACAAAGATAGAACTTATTTTGCATATTTTCAAACAAATCAATGAAGGATGTTGGAACATGAATCATTACCATTTTTCACAGAAAAGGAAACACAGACAGCAGCAACAAAACACCAAACCTCTGGGCATCCAGAGGTTGGGACTGCATCACACCTCACAAGCAGTGGGTCTGAGGATTTTCCTGAATCAGGCAACTTATTCTGATATTGGATAATTATAACCAGACTGATTTAAGTTTTATCTACTGACAGAAGCTGAGACTGACCTGATTTTCTAGGTTAATGAGAAGTATTATTATTTCAATCCATGGGCAGCCTTCAGCTGAAACAGTTTCAAAGGCCTATGGTTTTAATCCTGAGGTGGAGTGTTTCTTTAAATCACAACTAGTTAACAGATCTTCTAGATAACTAGGGTAACTAGAGCCCCCCTCAGGCTCTGGCAAACACAAGTGGTCCACGATCTGTCATCAAAGGTGGGGTATTAGTGTAACAGGGTGGTCCCCAGGAAAGGGGGAGGTTCCCTGCCCCACCCAAGGGAGGGTGGAGCTGAGCAGGAAGAGGAGAAGCTGGAGAAGAGAAGGAGGAAGGAGCAGGATGGGGCCAGAAGGAGACCTGGAGGAGGCGCATGGAGCCTAGAGACACGTAAAGAAACTGTGCTTGTCTTTTGGTCGTGGACTGGGTGACACAGATGTGGGTGAGACCCGTGGGGAGGTGACAATGGCAGCTTTTATCTTGATGTTGATTTTGCTCTTTTCCTTCCGGGCTTGTCCAGTTGTTTGTGACCCTTTTCTGTGGGTCCCCACTGGAAGATGCTTTAGACTTGTAGCAGGCTTTGGGGCCTTGTTCTGGGCCGATCCCATATGGATGGACTTTTACCCACGAGGGGACGGGTAACTTTGGGTGCTTCATTTAGAAACTAGACTCTTTGCCTTACCTGTATTGTTTCCTAGTTTTATTAAAGATCCTTCCCATTAGTCTCATGTGTTTTGTGTTGATGCGGCGGATGGCAGAACCCATTTAGTATAGGCAGGTTTGCGGGGTTTGGGCTGCCCCTCTCCCTGTCCTATAACATTAGGAAGAAGTCTGGAAGGGAAGTAAAAAAAAAAAAAATTCTCCTGTTTGCTTCCTTCTCCTTGGGCTTCCTTAAGTTTTCACGACAGTAGATACTTAAGGAAACATAGATTTGTAAGAAGACTAAAGACAAAGTGGTTAACCACTCTCTCTAAAAACAATGCACCACCCCCTCAAGCAAGCAAGCAAGCAAACAAACAAAACAGCCCTAACAATATGCGTGATTATGAACTTCCCATAACAGAACCAGAAACCGGGAAGCCACAAGATTCAATGAAGTTAGCAGTGAATTCTTTTCTTTGCGGGGAAGCAGTTTTAGGTTTACAGTAAAATAGAGAGGAAGGTAAGAGATTTCTCATATACCTCCTGCCCCCACACATGCACAGTCTCCCCTATTATCAACACCCCTCACCGGAATGGTACAATCTTTTATCAAACATGAACCTAGATGGACACATTACAATCATGCAAGTCCACTGTCTCCACAGTCTACCTTCAGAGTCACTCTTGGTGGTATATAGTTTATGGATTTGGACAAATACCTAATGGCATAGCCATCATTTTAATATTATACAGTGTGTTTTCGCTGAATTAAAAATCCTCTGCTCTGGCTATTCAGCCCTCTCTTCTCCCAATTCCTGGCAACCATTGATCTTTGAATTGTCTCCTTAGTTCTGCCTTTCCCAGAATGTCATATAGTTGCGATCATATGTTAGGTAGTCTTTTGGCTAATGCATGACTGCCTGAGGGATACGCAGGGATCTGAAACTGTTAAGGGGTGCATGCTCTAAAAGGGATGTGGCCATCCACATGCACAAAGGCAAAAGAAGCAGACTCTTAATGCAATGGATTTTCAACAGAATTGGTGTGCATAGAGAAGAAAGGATTTCAAATAATAGCAAACTCCAAAAATTACTCATCCCCCCTGTGGGCAAATGCCCAGCCAAATAGGCTTGGCCTGAAGCAAGACTGCTGAGGCCCAAAAGCTTGCCATAAGTCCAAGGTACCGTCTGGCAAGGAACCACAAGAAAGGGGTTAGGCAGGTCCCAGAGAGCTGTGACAGGAGAGACTCAAAATTCAAAATAGATCATCTCAAGATAAAGGCTGCCATGATCTCTGCCAAGGGCCAGGAACAGCCTTCCCCCATGTCCCTCCTCCATGTGTCTCCTCCAAGTCCCTCTTTACATGTGTCCCCCTCTATTTATATATCTACCTCACCCCTCCCCACCTGTCCCCCTTTGGGAAGTCTGATTCGTGGCATACTGGGACTTGTAGCCCAAAAGTGCTGCGTGTAAGTGCAGGTACATGGTTAATGTTGAAAAATTAGAAAATACAGAAAAGACCAATAAATAACATCAATGAAAATTCTACCACCCAATAAAAACTACTGTTAGCATATCAATGGTTATTCTTCCATGGAGCTGTACATGTTTGTGATATGTTTATTTTAAACAGGATCATATTGTAGTTACTGTGCTGAAATCTGCTTTGACTTATGCTATAAGTCACCATATAGCTATACTCCACCTATGGAGTGTAGCCCGTATCACAAGGCAGGCCAGGGACGCCCAGGCTGCTGTGGACCTGATGATGTGACTGTCTCCATGGCGGTCTCGGGATACCTCTGCCTGTGATGACATCATACTTTGCTGGCGCAAATGTCTCTTGACATCTGGTCACGATGTCCCCACGATGTCCCCTTCCCTGTCCCTCGTAAAACTTTGTCCCCCATTCTTATCCCACACTCCGGACTTTATTCCTCATACCACGGTCGCATGATCAGCTTTTACTAGCCTGTGTGCTTTCAATAAACAGCGCAAGAACGTCCTCTCCAGCAGCAGAGTCTTGCCTTGCAAACCTGCTCCATGACTGCTGTGTCCCACATCGTGTTCCCACCGCAAAGCAGCAACAAAGTTCCTATAGCAACAAGGTGTGTTTGGGCTTAGTGTTGGGCAGATGGCAGACAAAGGACACTGCTAAATCCTTGAAGGCCACAAACCCCAGCAGCTACATAATCTAACTGGCATTTTAAATAGCTCTCTCTTTTTTGAATTGTGAGGGCAGAAATAGACTGCTGCTACAGCTAATAAAGCCAGATCGAAATCACTGACTTAAAAATTTAGAGTTAAAATTAGCACAGTTATTTTCTTTTGATTTATCATGTGTGCTAGGCAAGGGGGGAGTATCAAAATACGTATTCAGTAAAAGAACAAAAGGAGTACATTATTATGCAAATAATGTAAAGCTTTTGACTTTTGAACCTGAACATACTTTCTCTTCTAGGAATTAAACTTTTTTTTAATCAATGCTCAAAGTGTCTCTAGCACAGGCCATGAAGGGCAGACTGAAGTGGGCCGGCATGGCCAGTGTGTGGACTAGCACCCGGCCTGCCAGGAATCACCTGGGCCTCTTGGTTGAAAT